GGGCGGGGCGGGCGGGGGGCGATGTGATAACAGCGGGAGCCGCGCCGGGGCCACGGGAGCAGACGGCGGGAGAACAGGATGAGCCAGGGCTCCCCATCCCGGACAGCCTGGCCCCCGCGCCGCGCCAAGGGGTCGGGCCGCCCCCATCACCTTCTCTGCATCCTCTGCATCCTCTCGGCGCTGGCCGGGCGCCTGCCCCCTGCCACGGCCCAATGGTTTAACCTGGGCATGGAGGACACCACACCAGACCCGGGCACCAGCCCCACGGCCCCCGGGGTGCCCACCCTGGACTACGAGGAAGGTAGGCACGGGGTGGGGAGTGGGGACACGGCTTCCCTGGCACCCCCAGCTCCTGTGCCCCAGCAAGAGGGGACATCTCCAGCATATGGCTGGAGGGTGAGGTGTTGGGATGCCAGGGTCCAGGGGTGCTGGTGGCACCACTGTGGCTGTGGTAAGTGCCAGGAACTGGGAATGCCGTGCCCCCCTAATTCCCCTCCAGCCCCATCACCTCTTTGGTCCTTCAGATGGAAATACTGGTGGCATGGAGGCACCCAGGAAGGTGCTGCTGAGCAAACCCCCACTGGCAGCAGCCCCCAGACGCCGGGAGCCCCTCAGCAGGGCAGCAGCAAAGACCCCAGGCCCTGCCCCACCACGCACACGAGTCCAGGTGCCTTCCCCAGGCTGTGTCCCTGCTTCCCCAGCCCTCCCTAATCTCCCTATCCACTGCCAGGCCCCTTGCCTTGTCCTTGCCTTTATCTGTGTCCTGCCAAGCCACCCCCAGCAGCCCAGCCAAGGCAGCGTGCCCTGCTCTGGCCCCGAGCCACAGCTCAGCTGCTGCTGCCCTCCTGGGAAGGAGCCGTGGCAGCTCCTGGCACCCCCATCACCCCCGTGGCAGTTCTGGGGCTCAGCCCCCACCCTGGGCTGTGGGCAGTGACCTCTGCTGTAGGGTCCCAGGTGCCCCCTGGGACCCCTCTGAGCCCCACACTGAGCCATCCTGTGTCCATCCTAGCCACACCGACCCATGGCTGCCCCAAGGATCTTCGAGGGGAGTGCAGATGAAGAGGAGTTCCTGCAGATCAAGGTGGGGGGGTCCCGGGCCCTGGAGGGGCTGCAAGGGGCAGCCAGAGACGGGTACTCAGACGAGGGGCTCTGAGGACATGTGCTGGCAGGGCGGGATGGGCACAGTGCTATGGGGGCTGGGGATGGTGCTCGGGGGTCTCGTGCTCAGCCCCTCCTCTCCTCTGCACAGACGACAGAGAAGGGGCTGCCCCAGCGTGTGCCCCCAGAGACGGACCCAGCGCTTCAGGTGAGCGGTGGGCACAGGGTGCCCATGCCAGACCCTGCAGCTGGGGCTCCCATCCCATGGCTCACTGCTCTCTCCCTCTCCAGATGTACAATGGCTCCAGCTGCGTCTGCCCTGTGCGCTCCGGACCCCCTGGCCCTCCCGGCCCTAAGGTGCAGTTGTCCTCCCTCCAGAGAGTCACGGGGGCTTGGGGACCCATAGGGACCTGCTGGGAGAAATCTGGCTGCTCTTTTGGCCCTGCAAAACCTTTTCTGATCTGGATTTGGACTCTTGCTTTGCGATCTGGGTTGGGGGTGACTCAGCTGTCCCCTGGCAGGGGGGTAGGATGTCCCCTTGGTGGGCACTGGCAGAGGAAAGTTGCCAGAGCCAGGCTCTGCCTTTCCCCAACAGGGAGAGAAAGGTGACCGAGGGTCCCCAGGAGAGAAAGGCCAGCCCGGATTCTCTGGGGAGAGAGGGAAGACCGGCAACCCAGGACAGCCAGGACACCAAGGTCCTCAGGGCCCCCCAGGTCCTCCAGGACCACCAGGGCCCCCAGGACCACCTGGCACCTTGGGAGCCAGGAGCCCATACATGCCTGCCTCCCTCCCCAGGGGATTGGAGAATGAGGTGAGCACCTGGGTGGGGGGCACGTGTCTGTCCCCAGCTGGGCTGGCAGGGTTGGGGAGCACAAGGTCTGGGACACTGGGAAGGAGGGAGCCAGCAGCCATGGGGAGGGGGACCAGGGGATGGGACATGGCTGTTCACTGATGCTGCTCTCTCTTTCCTCACTGCCTCCAACCTTTACATGCAGTTGGGAGCATCCAGCCCTGCAGGGACCCAAGGACCCCCAGGGCCCCCTGGCCTGCCAGGCCTGCCAGGACCCCCTGGATACCCAGGCCACGAAGGGCCTTCAGGGGTCCCTGGGCGGGAGGGGCAGCCAGGACCCCCAGGCCCACCGGGGGCTGTGGGACCACCTGGTTTCCCTGGGGCTGAAGGCCCTCCAGGGTCTCCAGGGCTCCCAGGCCCACAGGGACCCCCTGGGGTGCCTGGCCATGAAGGACCCCCCGGTCCTGCAGGACCTGTGTCACCCCCTGGCAAACCAGGTCTCCAAGGGGAGCCAGGTTTCCCTGGACTAAAGGTAAGGAGGTCCCAGCCCCTCCATGGCCCTGGGACAAAAGCAGGGCCAGTGGAGTGGGCATGGAGCGGCTGGGATATGCCAGCCCCTCACTCTGCCCCAGGAGCAGCCCCCAGCACTGAGCCTCCCGGAGGGCTCTGGGGCTGCAGGACCTGGGGGGACATGGGGTGCTGAGACCCTGCATGCCATGTGCTGGCAGGGTGAGAAGGGTGAACACGGACTGCCAGGCATGCCAGGGAGCCCTGGCCGTGCTGGAGAGACGGGATCCCCTGGCATGCCTGGTCCCATGGGACCACCAGGGCCACCAGGGGACTACAGGGTGAGTAGAGGGTCCTGGGCTGTGGGTCCTTGGGGTAGAGGGCAGCCCCACACTCACCCCAGCTCGTCCTCACCCTCCAGTGTGACTCACGCCACGCAGGGCACCAGGGATCGGCCGGGCCACCCGGCCCCAAGGTGAGCTGGGGCAGGGGGCACAGGGGGGGCACAGGTGGTGACAAGGACACGGGGAGGGTGTCAGCTATGGGCACTCCCTGGTGGTGTCAAGACCAAACAGCTCCGTGGAGAGTGTTACTCCATGGAGTGAGGCACAGCACTGTGCCAGGGGGAGCCAAGGGACCCCAGGGGCCAGGACACCAACGGGACCTTCTCTGTTTTCCTTCCAGGGAGAAAAGGGCGACCCCGGAGAACGGGTTTGTCACTGTGGGCACAGGGGTGGGGGGAGCAACTGGGAGGGGGTCCTGTCCTCACACCGCAAGTGTGAACCCCTGAGACCTGTGTGCTGCCTTTGATCCCCCTCACCCCTGTGTGCCAGGGCAGCATCAGCCTTTACCAAGCCCTGGTGGCACTGCTGGTGTCCCCAAATGGGTGGGGGCACAGGGAGGGGGAGTCACACTATCCCCTGGGGCACACGCACACACCCATGCACACATGGAGCATGCACACGTGCACACCCATGCAAGCACACAGTTCACCTATGCCCACGTCCACACACACATCTGTGCACAGCTGTGCACACACCCAGCACACAGATCCCCACCATCCAGCTCTAATTGTGCCTCTCTCTGTGGCTCACCCAGGGGTGCTGCTATGGGGAACACGGATGCAAACCAGGCCACCTCCCTTTCCCTGGCACCAGCAGCCAGTCTGGCTCCTGGGTGCCCATCAGTGGCTACCAAACAGTAAGTCCTCAGGGGGTCCCATCTTGATGAGGAGTGCCTGGGGACCTCAGCCTAGCCATGGGGACCCTGCTGCTGAAACCCAGGTGGCTCTGTGTGCCCACGCCACAGCTCATCCCACCAGCAGCCCGCCGGGGCTCAACAGCCCTGCCTGGGATGGAGAGACAGAGGATGGAGGATGGAGAT